CCTTCCACCGCTTGGTGAAGCACCAAGGTTCAACACTTCCGGCCCGGTGAACCACACTCCTGTTCCAGCATTTTTTAAAATCCCCCGATAGAAACCAGGAACACCCGGGTGTCATATTGGATGATCAGGGGCAGGGACTCCCTAGTTATCTCATCTGTAAGGGTGGTTATGTATAAACACACTCTTACATGGGATAAACCTATTTTTAAGTCTATCTTTGGGCAAAGAACCGAGACTTAGGAAAAATCCAGTTGACCACAAGAAAAATACCAACCAGGTTGATCAGCTTCGATCAGCTTCCATCCTCAGGACTCGTAGTTCCTCTAGACCTTTGATCAGCAATGCGCTGAGTATGGACATCCACAAGGTCTGAGACTTTGCGAAGGAAATCCCCGAGCCAGACAGCTTTTTTTTGGACAAAAAAACATGGGACAATCATAGACAAATATGGAACATTCCCTGTAAATGGATGTTAATAAATTGATATATATATATATAGATATAAAGTTATATATATATATTATATGGATAGTTTGCTGGGAAATTCATTGAACTACGGCTGGGAGATTTTCCAGCAAGCCATGTGACTGATTGCGGAGGCTACTCTATGGACTAGAAGTGGCATCGGAAGTGGTCTGGTTCAGCCATGTGTCTTAGTATAAACCGTTCATCTAAGTTGGGATATTCCCAAAGTGGATGGAACTACTCTGGTGATTACCCTCCGGTAAACTAACATAGCTATTGAAAATGGCCATTTATAGTGGATTTTCCCATTAAAAATGACCAGAGGGTATTGCTAAGTTGGTGGATTTGATTTTTGCCATAAGTGGGAACCTGATTAACTAGCGGGGAGATATAATTTTCCAGGGCACGGTAAATTAAGTGTTGTACCAAGAACAGTTGGATAAGATGGGTGGCTGACTCATGTCACTATATACTGCAAATGATCATATATACTGTGGATGAAAGAAATCTTGCACCAATTGGTAACTATTGGTACCTCTGAAACACAGTAAATACTGGGATTAGGGGATAAACTAAACTCCTGGATTTTTACCGTGTACCAACTGTTGCAGGATTTCGAAACCATCTACACATCGATATGGAAAATCCGTGCCATGAATTTTGTCGTCATTTCCAAAGCGGAAGGCCACGGATTTCCCCCGAGCTGGAAATTGCTGGACTTGTCCAATGTTGGAATTCTTCGAAGTTACTTCAGGAATCACGCGGCATGAATTACCATCTGGTTATGACTAACATAGCCATGGAAAGATCCACCATTTTTAATAGCTAAACCATCTATAAATGGGCAATTTATGTTAAACAACCAGAGGGTACCAGCCAACAATGGGATAAGATTGAGAGTTCGGAATCACCAAGGGAAAGCGGAGTAAGCTGGAAAAACATATGGGTTTTTTTCGTCCGAGATCGAGAGAAGATGGGGATCTAATGTAGCTGGGATCCGGATCACTGGCAGATTTGCCATTTGAAAAAATGAGCCCCTTCTGAACTTCTGAAGTGATGCTGATATGAGTAGACCCCCTCATGGTATTATATATAGCAACCGCCAAAAAGATAAGGAAGTAGAATCCCAAGGAAATAGTAATTAGTGATGAGTTACTTTGCTATCTTTTTTGGGGGTTGCTCCAATTCGTCCAAAAAGCGGGATAACATGTACAAAATACTCTTCCGATTTGTACCCCTTCATCTGAAAACAGATCGGATGGGTTTATCAATTCGGTTGACATTGATAGGCATTATGAGCAGAAGATACAAGAAGTGCAATGATTTTCGGTGGCAATGCCTGAAAAAAACGACCTCGCCGACGTCACTGGCCGTTTTCTGATGGTGTTTGCTGCGGCCCAAAAAGGACCCCCGAATGGGAACCAGCGCTGGATGAACATCGTCCATCCCTTGGCGATTTTGTTGACAGTGAAGTTCGCGTGTTTTTTTCAGAGATTTACACCATAGAAATCTAGATAATGAGCAACGATGATTCACAGTGGATTTTGAATTTTATGTCGAAATTCCATGCTCTTTGAAGCATTTTTTTTCCAGATCCAGTCGTTCCCAGAACTTTTCGCAATGCGAAGTTACCGCGACCGGAGCTTTTGGCTCTGGCCCGTCTCACATCGCTCGACATCTTCGGCCCTCGGTCAAAGTGCCGAAAAAGCGCAGCCTTCAAAGTCCTCGGCGAACGAGTTGAAAAGACGTGCCCTGTGGGGCAGGTGAGTTGAGGTGGGATGTCCCTTATAAATGGATCTTAATATATGGAAAGATATGGAACATCCCCAATAAATGGCTCTAATATGTGGATTATACCTGGGAATTGTTCCAGATTAAATCAATTATGTCCCCATGATAGCCCCAATATGGAGGTTTCCTAAGTCAGGGTACCCCAAATCATCCAGTCGTCATGGATGATCATGACTTAGTGACTTGAAACAACCATGGTGACGACTGGGGATCCCCCTTTGAGAACCCCCCAAATGGGTTTCTTGTGGTCTATATAGAAAATACGATATGCCCCAAAATGGCAATTCTTGGGAAACATGACAAAGAAGTATATTTCAAACACTTCCAGATCTGGGGAATAATTTACTAAGGAAAGCAGGTCTATCGTGGACAGGTCTATCAATGAGTATCCAAATAATTTAGAACCTATATGAGATATTATCATTCTTATCATTCTTATCATTATGATCATTCTTATCATTCTCATAATTTAATCATTGTTATCATTGTTATTGTCATGAAAATACTATTTTGTAACTATGGAATATGTAACTATGTCATGGAAAATGATTGAAATCAGAAAAGATATGCCTTGCGACACCGGAACTGCTTGAGCTTTGTGGTGATTCTATGGGGGATTCAATGGGATTTATAAAAATATAATGGGACTTTATAGTGATTCAATGGGGGATTCCATGGGATTTATAAAAAATAATGGGACTCTATAGTGATTCAATGGGATATGAATGGGATATACCATCTGATAATTCAACATAGCTATTGAAAATGGCACATAGAAATAGTTGATTTACCGTACCTATTAAAGATGGTGATTTTCCAGTTCGCTATCTTAGTTTACCAGAGGGTAGATTGAGCACCTACACTTGGTTGGGGGGTTTCAAATACTTTCTATTTACAAAGCAGGGATGATCCCGATTTGTATCAATGTGTTGAAAGCACCAACCCGATGGGGTGGTCCAAAACAATGAGGCTTTCAAACTTGAAGATCATCATTTTACGTTTTTTTTCTCAAACAAAACCATCCGTTGATGCCATGATGTGATCTTCCAAGCGATCATCTTGAAACTATCCACCAGTTCATCAAGTTGAACACTGTGCTCCACGGTGCTTCCAGGGCTTCTAAAACACCCCAAGAAGGGCTTCATGTAGATTTTTTTCTGCATCTTTTAGGGGTTGTTGTATCGTATTTCATCAAACATTATTAGTTTCTCACTATAAAATGGGTAAACATCAAACATCCCCATTGTTTTTTTGGTAGCTGAACTGACTCACTTTTTCATGGCCCATCTTGCTAGGTGTTGCTGAGGAATCCTCATCATTCGTAGGACATCTCCACAATTATTCTATATATAAGATTTTGGTTGACTTGGTAAATATCCATATCTATACGATATCTACTAATAATAAATGGTAAATATGCATTCTCTACATATCCATCTTAAACGGTAAATATCCATATCTATAGCTGGTTGGTGGTGTGGAACATTTTTTTTTCATATATTGGGAATCATTTTTATATTTTTCCATAGATTGGGAATGTCATAATCCCAACTGACTTTCACTCCATCATTTTTCAGAGGGGTAGGTCAATCACCAACCAGATCATTATAAATCATCATTAACCATATATTAACCATATATAACATTATGTAACCATATATACCACCATATATAAAACCATATATTAACCATTATTGTTTGATAACCATTATTGATGATATCTGCAGGGTTCGCCAGGCGCAGCTTCTCGTCCCTGCTGGCTCAGTTGGCGGTCGGGCAGCCATATGGGATCCCTGCAACAAGAACAGGAAAAGAATGGGATATCTATAATGCGGTTTTAAAGGAGAGTCAATGTGTCTGTATAATATATATATATATAATAATAATAGTAATAATAATAATAATAACAAACATAATAATAATAATAACAACAATAATAATAACAATAATAATAATAACAACAATAATAATAACAATAATAGTAATAATAATAACAATAATAATAATAATGATAATAATAATAATAAATAATAATAATAAATAATATATATATAATTATATATAATATGTATATATGTAATTATATATAATGATATGTATATATATACATATAATATATCTATATCTATAATTATATATATATATATATGTACAATAATCTGATGATTTCTGGGTAAATTATAACGAAGTTTTAGGCCCAGGCTCCTCGCGCCAAACTTGGGTTCCAGAAGGGATCGAAAGGGGCCATGGCGACTGGTTTGGACACGTGGATTTTGGAGCACTTGTTGCTTTCTCATGACATCTATGGAGCAGAAGGTTGCCATCCAGCTTTGAACCGAAGAAACATGTTGATTGAGATCGTTGAAGAGACTCATGGAGCAGACGGCAAACAAACGTTCCTTTTCAACCACTGGACTGCAGAAGGATTTGGGTATGAGGCTTTCAACAGAACATACATGGAGATTCCCAAGGACTCACTGATGGATGAAGGACAGATCCTCATCTGGGATGTAGACACCACTGCACCTATGAATCAAAAAATCTGGATTTTCAACGTGGAAGAGATGATTTACAGAAATGGTACTCCAGGTTTTACGTATGTCTTTGACAAGAACTCACACTGGACACATGTACCCATGCATGATGGCTACCATGGTAAGACCAAGGTACTGGAATGGTTTGCAGGGGGTTTTGGGGGATGGAAGCATGCTGGAAACTTTCTTAGGACCCAAGCACAGATCCCAATGCAATTCGTAGCCGTTGAAGCCAGCCCAGAGATTGCTGCACAGTATGCACTGACGCATCGAGCCAACCTGGTAGTTGCATCCGATTCCATGCCAGAGGACATCTTTCTTAATGACTTGGACTGGATTGTACAGGCGGACATTTGTGACCCAAAGATTAGGAAAGCCATCCACACTTGGAAACCGAACATCATTTGCATCAGTAGCCCATGCCCACCCTGGAGCACAGCCGCTGCTTCAGCTGGATTGCATTCGAAAGAGGGTTTATTGCTTGCCCAGAGCATCCTTGAAGCCAGATGGGCACGACCATCGTTTTTGTTGATTGAACAGGTTGCTGGTTTTGCACATCACCACCACAAGCCGATGATTGAACAACTGCTCTTATACAGTGGTTTCCAGCTCATTTTTCAGAAGACCTTGGACTTGAGAGATGTTTCACAACCAGCCAGACTCCGATGGTTAGGAATAGCTCGAAGGGTGCATGCTCCTGTACAGAAGCTGAAGATTCAAGCATGGCCACGCAAGCAAGAAAATCTTTTCCCAAACCCGACATTAGCTTTGCCAGAATCCTTGAAGCATCAGACGGTAGTCACAGCGCAAATGGAAGAAGTGGCAAGCTCTCCCGACTTTGCCAAGCATTCGATTGCAAAGACACCTGCCCAAATTCTCCAAGCCAAGATTTTCCGACCAACAGAACACTTGCCTACTTTCATGGCGAAGTATGGCACTCAACATCTGCTGGACAAGACTTTCTTGAAGGATAAGGGATACTTTGGTCATTTTGTACATGACACAACTGTACCAAAGGGTTTCAGACTGTGGCACCCCAGTGAAGTTGTTTTGGCACATGGCATTGTCGACGTGATGCACATTCCAAATGATTTCGTTTTGGCCAACAAGATTGTAGGAAACATGATCGCAGTACAACATGCCATGTTCCTACTTGGGAACGCGCTGACAGGTCTCACTGAGGACAAAGTGAACATCATGGACTTGTTTGACCTTTTCCAAAACAAACGATTCAGGGCGGAAACCAGTCACCTTTTTCCAATTGGGGATGGGCACATGATTATCCAAAACAACATGCTACTCCTGAATGACCTTTGCGATGCAGCGCAGCAGCTCCTGACCTGGAAACATGAGCTCCCCATGCATGCCATCTGGACACCAAAACATGGGTTGATTGACATGGAAAGCATTCACAAGTTAATCATGCCTAGACCCCAGTCAATGCAGTCTCCGTCGCCACTCACTGAGGAAGAAACTGAATTAGAAGACACCTTACCAGATACGCTGGTATGGCAGCCATTGATCAGGGGTGAACTCCAAATGGAAACAAGCCAGCAGCCTTTTTGGTATTCCGCAGACATGCCAGGACACGTCATTGCTAAGGTTTGGGATTTTGCCTTTGGGATCACATTCCGAGGTGTGGAACATCCGACCACTGCGATCTTGACGCCCACAATAGCAGCCATCGATCAAGACCATCCCACAGACAAACGCTGTGCAGTACTGTTGATAGAAACTGAGTTGAACCTCCTTTCTGTGGATCCTCAAATGGCACTTTTAAAGCAACATCAGATCAACAGTGTAGCCAACATCCTCTACGACCAATTTGGACCTGTAGCAGTATATCAGACTGCAACTTTCGATGCCATCTTGACTGATCGGCCCATTCTTCACAACAAGATTGACAAGGATGTAGTCTTTCTGATTGCTGCTTTTCAGCAAGTGCATGTCCAGATTTTTGACCGATCCACCGATTATGCAGTGTGCTTGGCTTTTCAAGGCATCGACCAAACACAATCCCAATTCATGGACTTTTGGAAGGGTGTGATTTCAACTGATTCATGTACTCTTTTGGGTAGAATGCCAACAAGTGAAGACAACATGCTCATCTTTGCGCCGTGTCCACATGTAGGGGTCGCACCGAATACAGCTTTCAAGATTGCCCTTGCCATCTGTGCTGCAAGATCACTGTTTGACCAGCTCAGGTGTCCAGAATCTGAGGGCCTGGAAGTACTTCTGAAATGGGATTCAAGACCACTGTGGCGTGGCCACTTGCATCCGAGCCATGACATCCGATCCATTGCCATGATCCTGTGCCTCGCCCTTTTCCCCATTTCCAAGGGAAAAGTGTACCGAATTGTTTCAAAAGGCAAGCAGCAACCACCAGAAACAACGATCCAGAGCCTTCGTAGCACAAGCACACAGCCAGCACCCATTGTACTTTTTGCAGTGATGGAGTTACATGGAGGAGGAGCAAAGCAGCAACAAAAAGCAATTCAGCAAAGCGCCATTGCCACAGCATTTCTGGAACAAGGGCATCCGTTGGAGTGGACAGCCAAGACAGTTGATAGCATTGTGGACAAGGTCAGTCTGCATCGACTCCAAGCCATCACAAGTCAGCCAAAAAGAAGTGCCCGCATCCAAAGCTTGATGCAGTTATGTGAAGAACTCAAAATCCAAATTCCAGAAATCGTGAAGCCTCAAACCAAGAGTGTCGCAGCCGGGGCTCCTTGGCAACGCAAGAAGAAGAAAGAGGAAATGCCCATTCAGCTTGGGGAATTCACACTGGTAGGAGCCTTCTTTATGAATGAAGACGGAAGCCAAGCACCACAAATTCAGGGCATCCGACCACAGGCATCCGGAGTCTGCCTTATGAATGACATTCAGGCTGCCCCAATTCTCAAAGAAAATCAGAAACTATCCAGTGATGAGCTAGCAATCCTGGTAGTTGGACACCAATACCCGGAACATGTGCCATCCCAGGAAGTCACTTTTCCCTGCACCAATGCCAATGGACAAGATGTTCTGCTTTATGGAAGATTGTACCAATTGGGAGGTAAACAAATCCAGATTAACCAGGGAAACCCACAGCAAGTCCCAGCGACCATTTGCCAGCTCACAGCCATCACAATGTACAAAGAGGACTGGCCTGAACAGACATGGAATGAAGCAATTCACAGCACAAACTCGTTCATCCGAAAGGTGCTGCTCACTGACCAGTTGGACCAAAGCCTGCAAGCAATTTGGGGGAGATCGTTGAGACATGGGAGAGCACCGGCAAGCCCTCAGGATGCAACAAGTGTTCAGGTGCATGCCACAATTGAGGCCGCAAATTTTGCCAAGCTTTTGCAGAAATCAGGATTCAACAAATTGTATCTCACACCCAAACAGCAGTCTGGACGCCCAGCCAGTGAATACAGAATTGTTTGGTTGCATGGAGAGTGCTCAGTTCCGAAAGCAATTGCTGCCAGCGCCCAGACAACCAATTGTGCTGGCCTTGTCAGGGGAAAAAATGGAGCACTGGGACTGAGATACCCACAAGATGCTTTTGATGCAGCATGGAAAGTCATTAACCCCCAGACTGCGCCACCCAGCGACTTCCAAGGAGATCAGCTGTTCAAGATTGAAAACTTGCCTTTTGGAACCAGCCAGCAAATGATCACTGCATGGGCAGAAGCCAACAACTGGAAATGCAAGCCTTTCAGGGCCTTGGGACCAACAGCATGGATGGTCAAAGCAGATGCAGGCCCTCCTTCAGGCCTATTGATGTTCAATACATCGCCATTGCTGATTCGAACAATCCAACCCCGAGATGCCAAGAAGAACCGTCTCGTCCTGGGACCTCGACAACAGGCAGTACAGCCAGCCGGAACCGAAGCCGACCCCTGGACACACAATGATCCATGGGCAACATGGCAACCAGCCAGAACTCCAATGCCAGCCACAGCTCCTGTGGCTCGAACATTGGAAGGACCTATTGAAGCCAAGTTTGACAGCCAAGAACAAAAGATCTCAGCTATCCGATCCGAACTGGATGCCCTTGCAAAAAAGCAGGATCAGCATGTCAAATCAGTCCAGGAAGAGTTTGTCATTGCGCAGCAAAGAGAGCAAGAGGAATTTTCCAAGATTCACTATGGAATGCAGAAAATACAATCCGACCTGGATCAGAATTTGGCCAACACAATGAAGCAGCACTCACAAGCAATGGAACAGCAGTTCCGAGATCTGAAAACTCTTTTCCAGCAGTCGCAAAAGAGATCCAAGCCAGATGCAGCAGATGAACCCATGGAATGACATGACCGAGGAGCCAGCCAACAATTTGGACTTTGCATGCATAGACCGAAGAAGTCTATCAATATAGTTAGACATCAACAAGCCGAAGTACATAGTAGCTCTTTTTTAGCCACCTTAACTTGGAAGCTTGTTCATGCCTTGCAAATTTTGATTTTTGCTCGAACATGCCCTAGGGTTGACATTCATAAAGAATGGGGTTGGGGCTGTCAAGACACCACCATTGCACAGGCTGTTAATGATCCTTCAAGCAGCCACGCAGTGCCTTCACTTTCCCAGTTTGATATTTTGGAAGAATCGACCCTCATTTCGGAACGAGCTGAAGCCCAGAACTTTTTAAGTAGCACACAAGTGGTCTCGCTTGCAAGCAGTAGAGTCGATATCTTTTCTCCAATCACCTGCCAGGTCAAATCGGGCAATTTTGATGTCCAGCCTCAAGTAAGACGTGATTGTGAATCCTTGCATTTGATGATTGATCCAGCTGAGGGCAGTTGTTGCAAGAGCACCGTCACTTGTACAGACATGCCATGCCCATTTGCACAGTCAGTTTTATGCCAGCCAGGACCACACCCAGCGATACGACATAGACCATCCATGACATCCAATGCCAGGAGGTTTTTCAGTGTACAACATTTTTTAATCATGTTGTTAGGACTTTATGGCCTTAAATGTACAGATGCAATCGCCAACCAAAGTTCAAACAGTGGTACTGCGCTTCAGGAAAATCTGCCAGAGATATCCAGCTATCAGGCATTTTCACCAAGCAGGGCCTGCCGTATGACGGACACCCAGTGCAGTTTTCATGAGACAAATCTTCGAAAATCGAAAATCAAGTTAATGTACAGATTGCCGATTATCAGAATCTTAGATCTCCGAAGCCTGCAGAGTGTACAGAACATTGATGATAGGCGGAGTCTTCACAGCCGATTTGCATGTGTATGGCATTTTGCCAAACCTACAGCCATGGCTAAGCTGCACTTGAACCACTCGCCTTACTGTGCAGCCAGGGTAGGAGAAGCCGCAAACCCTGGACCACGCCAAGCTGAAGTGATCAGGTTAGGAATAACTAATCCAACCTCCATCATTAGTAAAGTTGCCACTTATCAGACCTTGAGACAGCAAATGCAGCTTGATCTGATCACAGCCTCCGAGACAGCTGCAACTGCTAAAGCCCAAAAGCAATTTGCCAACAGCATCCGAAAAACATTCCCCAGGATACACTGGTCAACACCAGTACCAGCGCACAGACATCGATCAGATGGAGACGATAGCCTGCGTGGCAAGGCGGCGGGAGTGGCCATCATGACAACACTCCACTCTCGGGAAGCCATAGGTACACTTGAGCCAGAATGGGTGGCAACATGTAGAATCATGCATAATGTGGTAACCATTGGAATCAATAAGGTACAGTTGATTACGGTTTATGGAGTTCCATCCACCCAAAAGGACTCTGCCACATTTAACAATGACCTCCTGCAACAGGCACTTGATGCCATTACCCAGACCAACCTTCCGGCTATAATCCTTGGGGATTTTAATGTGGACCCTTTCACACTTCCCATTGCTCAGAAATTGCAGGCACACGGGTTTAAAGACTTGAAGCAATTGTTTCCTCGATTGCATGCCAGAGAAATGCCAAAAACATGCCGAGATGCTACGCATCCTGATAATGCACTCCTTTCACCCGACATGCAGGACCTCCTCACCCAAATTGAGGTACATCCAGAGCCTTGGTTTGATGCGCACAAAGTAGTCATCCTGACTTTTCATATGCCACCAAACCCTATTACCCATCTTAGGATGTCCATCCCACATAGTTTCCTGCATTTGCCATTGGATGAATCACAGATGCCAGATGCCTATGCATATGCTTGCGCAAAGTATGGGGACCCTACTTCAATCGAAGCATGGGGCCAAACCATTGAGGTAGCTGTGGATCATGCAATTCGAAAAACACAGATGACTCAGGAAAATATCCCGTTTGCCCAAACACAAGGTCTGCCCAAACACTGCAGGGGGAGATGCCAGCCACGTGCACCCAAGCCGTGCCAAAGAAAAACCCTCACCCGACCGGGCAGACCAGGTGATTACCAGCCACCAGGGGAAATCCATTCCCATGCCACGTGTAAAAAGGTTAAGCAGGTGCGCAGGTTAGACTCCATTTGTAGAGGGCTCAAAAAGCTTACGCTTACCCCAACACAACATGAGGTACTGACCTGTGAATGGAAAGCTGTCCTGGCATGCCAGGCATTTAAAGGTAATTTCATCCGGTGGGCACAGTGTAAACCTGAGGTAGGCCCTTTACCCATTAACTTGCCAACCTATGAACTTGCGTTTACGTTGTATCAGCTTGCCAAGCATGAGACCACTATCGCCATCAGACAGGACCAAGCAGTCTGGAACCGAAAAATGCAGTACAGGAGACACCTTGATGCCACCCTTCAGGGGCACAAACATGCATTTGCCCAGCTCAAAAAGGAGATGCAGCCACCACTTGCTTGCCTTCAAAACACAGAGATTAGGCATGCCATGATTGTTCCTGAAGACGCACATCAGAGAGTTTATGCGGATAACTGTAATGCCTTTCAAATGGACACTAAAGTGCTCATTGACCAAGTTCCCTGTTCCATTTTGGAAAAAGATGATAACAGCCTCTTGGTAAGGCCAGCCAATGCTCATGAGTGGCCGAACACAGTGGAACTCATGCAGACACAACAACATGCAGCACCAGATGTGATGTTTGAATTGCTTCAAGACTACTGGCAGCCTTTTTGGACTAAAAGTGTAACCCAGCCCACAGAGGAACAGCTGAGAGACATACTCCAAACGCTGCCACGAATGAACATTCCTGAATGCCCAGAGGACCCACAACTCTGGGAGCAAGCCATAAAAAACCTGAATCCCCACAGTGCCAGGGGAGTTGATGGTATCTCTGCACAGGAGCTCAGGCTCATGCCACGTCAAGCCATTTTGCACCTAATGACTATCATGAATAGTTACACGGAGGGCTTCCCATTATGGATGATGTGGACCAGAACGATGCCGGTGCCAAAGAAAGATGGGGTCGTCACTCCGGCCCAAATCCGACCCATCAGTGTAATGGCTCAGCTTTATCGTTTGTGGAGTAAAATTCAGTGTAAACATGTTCTTTCTTGTATCCACTCACAACTCCCCAAAGCAATCACGGGATTTGTCCCTGGGAAAGGACCCTATGACGCCATTTATGAAATGCAATGGTACCTGGAAAAGGCCCATAACCAGGGCACGGCCACTTCCGGGATTTCAATTGACTTGTTAAAATGTTTCAATACTATTGACCGCGAGTCAGCAAAAATTGCATTGAAAAAACTTGGTGTCCCCAAAAAGATGTTGAACCAGTTTTTTTGCTCCCTGCAAAGACTCACCAGATCTTGGATTTTGCCTGATGCCATTAGCCCACCGAAAGGGACTGACAGGGGCTTCCCGGAAGGCGATCCAATGAGTGTCATGACAATGATTGCCATTGCCACGGCTTGGATATACATGATCATGGAACAAACTCCCCAAGCGCAAATTGCGGCTTACGCAGACAATTGGGGCTGGGCCTTAAATCCACCTCACCAGCATGCCAGGGTTATACAGGATACTCAGGCATTTGTCACAGCGTTTACAATGCAGGTTGATTGGGACAAAAGCTGGATATGGATGACACAACCTGCTCAGCTACCACAGTTGAAAAGAGCCATCCGACAGCAACTTGGGGATAAAACACTCACTCACTTGATGAATGCCATGGACCTTGGAGGGCAAATGACATATCATGGACCACCAAAACTGGGCAAAGTGCAGCAAAGATTCCAAGAAGCCATCAGACGCCTGAAGTGTCTCCAAATGTTACCATATGATGTTCGCTCCAAAGCACTAATGGTTAACACAGCGGTGTACACACAAGCATTCTATGCGTCGGCTATACTGCCAGTTGGCCGAAAACATACAGACACCATGCGTACCCAAATAGCTGATACTCTGCTAGGGACCTCGGTCAGCCGGAATTCTGCTATCGCCATCCACTGCATGCCTTTCTTGAATGATCCTGAGCTTATTCTAGTAATTAATGCGGTCACCATGGCCCACAGATTTCTCCACAGATGCCCAGAAGGGGAAGCACAAGAATTTTTGAACATGGTTGCGACTCACACTGGCATTTCCCATAAATGTAAGGGGCCAGCTGGATGTTTGAAATACTACTTGGGTCGCTTAGGGTGGACTATTGACCGAGAAGGAAACATCACAGTTGCGGCTTTTCGCAAATACCATTTTCTGAGCACCAGCAGACAAAAATGGAAAAGATTGCTACTAGAGGCCTGGCAGGATGACCTCCTTAGCCGTTTCACTGCCAAAAAAGCCCTAAAGGGCCTACCCCCCATAAGTAGTCTTGATACCACTGCTGTAATTCGTAAATTCAGCCGAGTCGAATGGCGCCCCATTCTTAATGAAATCTCAGGAGCTTTCCAATGTGCCTCACAACAAGCGGTTTGGGACCCCCAGACTGATCCACACTGCCCCCACTGTGGCCTTTTGGATACTAAGTTTCATAGGATTTTTGAATGCACCTTGACTGCTGACTTACGCAGTGAAATCTCCGACACTATTGACTGGATGAACCAGGAAGGGGTTGAATGGCATGAATTACCCGTCATACATGTTCATCCTGACAGGGAATGGCACACCATGTACCATGACCAGCAACTTGAGCCAGAGATCCCGCTCGACATGTTCCGGGCGTTACAAGGCATTGATGTTGCTGGAACCAGCCTGCAGTTCTGTACGGATGGGTCCTGTCAGTTCCCAGGATACCCAACCACTAGGTATGCCAGTTACGCAGTAGTGATTGATGTAGCGAACCATGATGCTGAGCGCATGAATGCAGCTAAGCTGTTTGCCCAAACCAACATGATGCCATCTTCCCTGCACACGCTATGTGTGGGGCGCACACCAGGAGACCAGAGTATCCATCGCTCTGAACTGCTTGCCATAGTATATATCTGTGAACGCTTCTATAACACGAATATACACACAGATTCTACAGTGGCTCTTGCTGCCGTCCAAGAATGCCTGAAACCTCATTCGCGTATTTGTGAAATGGAAGACTTTGACTTACTTCTCCGCCTACGTAAAGTGATACACTTGGGAAATCGACAGTTTCATAAAGTAAGGGCACATTCTGAAACTGAGGATAATATTAACTGGATGACACTATATCACAGGTTAGGCAATAAGAAGGCGAACGACTCCGCAATCACTGCAAATCAAGGGATGCAGCCGACTGCAGTAGCAGAGTTTAACTGTGTGCATGATGATTTACAAACTCAAAGGCAACATTTACAGCAGCTTTTTGGATTTCACTTGAAGGTAATTCGACGCCATGCGGAGCTTGTCCAGAACGAAGCGGCTAAACCAAATCAAAGGCAATTTGACTACTCAGGACCTTCCATGGATGATATCTTTGAGCAATTTTCCAATTACAATGTGGAGCTGCCGTGGATAATGCCAACCAGTCAAATGAAGGAGCTTCGACAATGCGCCTGGGGAAACACAATAGCAAACAAGGTCATGGAGTGGGCAACGCAACTTAAGTGGCCACAACAGGAGAACCTGCATCCACTGCAGGATGATGGAGTGACATGGATTGAACTGGTGCTTAGCTTCACTTTTTCACAGAGGATTTTCTTGCCGTTAAGAAGGGAAGGTAGGGAGGGAAAACAACTTTTGGTGCCATTTGCCAATGAGACAGCCTTGGGTGCTTACCAGGGCAAACTGTCAGAACTTGCGCAGACTTTTGCAATTCTCTGTAAACAAATCACGGAACTGCAAGATAAGGAATTTTTACCACCGGTGGAGAAGGGACTGGTGAGAAGTCTTTACAAACTTGGTTCCAATATTTTCAGCAGCGGATTCAAATGGCGACCGTGGTTTCCTGCACAAACACAAGTGCTGGAGGTACTGCGACCATACCTAAGGACTCACAGAGGCCCAGCCTATGCGGCGTTACCTGACTTTCCTTTTGTGCCAGATGAAGAGAGTTACCAGATGATCAGAAGTGAAATTAAGGGAGATTGGGCCGCACGGTCGAACACCGCGCAAAAGGCCATGCGGAAGGTGCGGAGCTGGAGAAAACACCCAGTCGCTCGACTCTCCTTTGCATGATTCTGGGCCAAAGAGCCTAATGAGCCGAAATGGCCGCGACTTCACCCTAGGTTAGGTCGTGATCCGCCTCGACAAGGGGAAAAGGGTAAATTATAACGACCTCACTGTTTTCCAAAGCCTGGAATCATGATTAATGAGGGGAAACATCCCCAAATGCCCTTAATTCAGGTTCGTGAAATATTATAATTAACCCAGAGAAATAGTGTAAATAGTGGGATATCATTTAAACATATCATGGATTCAGAATGGGAAGAATGAGAATTATGATCGACATAGGAGTACAATGGCATTATGATGGGATGTTTTTTTTTCACAGTATTTCATGGGAAGATGATTCTTCGTTTACCCTCTTTTGTAAACGTTTAGACCTAACGAACTGGTTTTCCCCACCATTTTTTTAAGGTATGTAAATCAACTATTTCTATGTGCCATTTTCAATAGCTATGTTGAATTATCAGATGGTATATCCCATTCATATCCCATTGAACCACTATAAAGCCCCACTATTTTTGTGCCATTTTCAATAGCTTTTTGTATGTTTACCAGAGGGTATCTGGGTTGATAAAAAACAATGATTTCATGGGAAATGGTGACCTGGTGACCTCACGTCGGGTTACTTCACTGGAATTTATGTGTTGGTTGTGGGAATCATCCCCAAACAGCGCAGATTGGTGCAGAAGGTGAAACTTTCAGCTTTGTGGTGATATCAGTGATATCTGATAAATCAGCCAGAATGATGTTTAATGATGTTTTCTGATGTTCATACATGAGATATGGCGTTGTGTTGGCAAGTCTTTATTGACACCTTTAGCACGCGTCATGGGAATATGAAGTTTGGGTCTGTCTGAAAAGTGGGAGATCGCCTGAAACAAAGTCTCATAGTTATGAAACAATCCACCATGAAAGTAGATCATTTTCTGAACGGGAAACTATGGTTGTCTTCCATATTAATGTTGTTTTTTTTTAGAGGATAATATCCTAAGTAGTGGTTTCCAATCCATGGGGGTACCCCAAAGTCATCCATTTTAGATTGGGATGTTCCATGAACTAAACCATCCAGCGATTTGGGTACCCCCATGGCCATGAAAAGCTCCATATATCTGAGATTGGCTAACTATAATGATTGGACAATCCTGGGTTTCCATAGATAAATTGACTACAATGATTGGCTAGTTTTCTAAACCATGATGTAACCCCATTTTTTTTTACCAACAATCTGGGAAACAGGGTATACCCTCTGGTAAATTAACAGTTGGACCCTGAAAATCACCAATTTTTAGTGGTTTCACTAATCTTCCAAACCCGACTCATGCCAGGGTGTATATTGATAGTGTATATTTTAACCATTTGAACCATTAATCTCACTATCTATTATCACCATTATATCAACCATTTTAATAGAGGATATCAAGAAATATTAGTTTGTAAGTATTATATCAGCCTATTATATCAGCCCATTACATCAGGTAAGTCACCCCATTTATGGTATGTTTCGCCTATATATTGTAGGGCCCGAGGCCGTAGCCCTTGCTCCACCAGCTGAGAGTCTGCTGGGACGCTCCTTGGAGCCATTCATTTTTGCGGATTCTGATCATATGTGTAATTTATAGATTATGATAGATTATACTGTAGATTATACTGTAGATTCTTTTAGATTCTTTTAGATGATTATAGATTAATATGCCCAATGATGATTCTACCCAATGTATCTACTATCAGATGTGATATATCCAATGATTGTGAAACAATTCATAGATAATATAGATGATTTAGGAATAGATTGAGTATTCAAGTTCATATGGATTATCTAACTTGTTGCATGTCTTTTGTATCCAGTATGGTGAATATGTTTGGCACTGTAGTGAATACGTGGTTGATGTATAGTTTGTTGATTTATAATTGCCATTCCACCAACTAAGATAGACCTGTGTCGAACCACGCAAAAGTTTGAAGAGAAACATCATCTTCCTACCATCTATTTACCGAGGTCTATATTTCAATGGATTGGTTTAAGGGGAAATCTTCACCGGAAACCCATGGTAAAATTTACCATCAAACCGGAGGGTTTTCTGTAACATTTTTTCCCTGGAAGCGATCCGAAGATTGTGAAATCATCAACACTAATATCTGACCAGGATTCGAACAAGACAATTTATCAAGAAATACATTAAGACTACTAATCATTGCGAAGAATGTATCTAACAATGAACAAGAATGATGAAAAACCCAGCAATAATGAGACTATGGATGAAATTGACACAGTTGGCTTTTACATGTGCCCAGATGGTCAAGCCACAGAAAAATAATCACCGCCTTGTTGAGGATCATCTCCCAACTATTTCCATCATTTCCAGCGTTTTTCTTGTACCATTTCCATGTATATGTACATATATTCTCCATTCGTTCCCCTCCTACTTTCCAAAAAATTGTGTTTGTCCGGAACATTTGATGCTTAATCATCATGTTGTCATTAAAAAAAATGAACAAAACCCATTTACATGTGTATATCCCTCATATTTTCCAATTGTTCTCCTAATGTTGTGCCCGGAACACAATTTCCATGGGTGAATCGTCATTTCTCCATAGGAACACGCCAGAATAAGTACAGTTTCCATTTGGATGCCCTCTGGTTAATAGTGGTTAATGATGGTTAGTAGTGGTTAATGATTAATAGTGATGGTATCATTAATAGTGATGGTATCATTAGTGATTACTACTATATATTAATGGTGGTTATTCAATGATGGTTAGTAGTGGTTAGTGATGGTTAGTAGTGGTGAATCTGGGTTATTGATGGTTATCCTCTGGTAAACATACAGAAAACGATGGAAAGATCCAGCATGCTATTAATGGGAAAACTCACGTTTTTTTCGACTGGGCCATTTTTCAATAGCAAACTGTAACAAATTACCAGAGGGTATCTCCTATATTTTCCATTCACTCTCCTCATATGCATGATATCCCTCGTATTTTATTCATATCCCCATGTTCAGACACTCAAATTATTGGGTATAATATAGATTGGTCATGGTACCCGTGATGATTATACCAATGATTGTTATACTCATATACCATAGGTTATTAATGTTAGCAACGCAATAGCAAGCCATCGCGCAATTTACGTTCTGAAGGGGTAGGTAGCATAAACCACCTAAATCTTGGTGGTTTGACTATAACTTTACTCAATGGGTGTTTGACTATAACATACCATTACTATACCCTCCTGAAAACGAACATAATTAGATGTGGAGAACCCATCGTTTCCGTAGGAAACTGATGATTATGAACCATTCTTATGATCATTACCATGCTTTTCCCATCATTTTCCCAAGCGATTGTCATTTTCCCATCATTTTCCCAAGAGATTGTCATCCACAAAAACCCATCGTTCCACCAAAGGTTTGGTGTCTCGGAGTCTGGGCAACACCTTGGCCAAGCTCTACGAATTGTCGACCTTCGCGGCGCCGCCCGAGGTGCGACACGTCAACAAAAACGTCGTTTTTCGGTGTTCGAAATGGAAATGATGGTTTTGGTTGATGGATTTTGGTATAACCATATCAGGTTGGTGAAATATTACAATGTACTCAGAAACGAAACTGTAAATGATGGTGTTGGTTGATGATAAGTTGATTTAACCATCATAACCATCATCCAATCTTGGTGGTTTTTGGGTTTCAACTAGCAAACATATGGGAATATCATTGATAAATGATGGTTGGTTGATGATAGTCATTCAGTATGGATTTCAACTACCAACATATGGGGAGTGGATGGATATAACTGATTTTGGTGGCTAACCTCCTCTTGGTTGATTAGCTTGGGGATGACAGTTTCTACCGATTTTCATCAACCAAGAACGGGGAAGCCCGTTCTGAACCAAGCAGTATAAGAGGGATGGGGCAAAATTTTTCATACATAACCGAGCATTTTTGGTAAGACACGTCAATTTCTCAACTACCCTCTGGTAATGACTGTTACAGTTTGCGAACTTGAACATGACCCAGTCGAAATAGTGGATTTTCCCAGCTAGAACATGGTGGATCTTTCCATAGTTATGTGGCTGTTTACCAGAGGGTATATGTAATAAAAGATCATGGACATTTGGATCTAGTAATATATATATATATATATTATATCCAGGATCCTAAAATGGAGGTACTGTACCATATAAGGCCATATTTTTGGGGATTATATATATATATACTAATATATAATGGATGTAATTAATGGATAGGAATTATAACGACCTCACCTCGCGACCGAATTGTGGCATCCCTGGCATCATGGGGATTGGAGGGAAATCATCCCCAAATGGCCACACGTTTTCAGGTGAGTGACATATCAAAAAGTACCCAGAAACGAAAAATGATGGTGTTGCTTGATGATTAGTTTATTTAACATTATTTAACCGTCATAACCATCATCCAATCTTGGTGTTTTTTGGGTTTCAACTATCAAACATATGGGAATATCATTGATAAATGATGGTTGCTTGATGATTGTGTGAGGTTATACCATCCAACATCTCTGGGATTATGACAGCCCGTGACGGGAGATTCCATCAAACCAGCCAGTATAGAGAAATGACAGAGGGTCTTGACACTGTTCAAATGGAGCAATTTGACATTTCTGGCTTCTTCCGGGCTGCGGATATCCATCTCTCCATATACCCTCTGGTTATTTAACGTAGCTACAGAAAATCACCATTTTTTATTGGTAAAGCATCTATAAATGAGCCATTTTCCATGGCTATGTTAAATAGCTAGATGGTATGTCCTATTAAATAGGAAACTAAGGAGCCAGTAAGAGTTTCTTGGCACTTTTGCTGGGTCTTCCGCTTATAGAGCACCGAGGACTTTCAAGCAAAAATTGAGATTCAACCCATCGGTTACAAATCAACCGCATTTACATTGTATTACCTTCATCACATTACTTTATATTATATTATAATGTAATGTAATGTAACTAATTTTGGAGATATTACCATATATATATATTACAAAATTATACTTGTAATATTCATGTGGATATATAAATATGGGATGGGATTATGACCATATTTTGGGGAATAACCATCCATTCACCCGCGTTTTCCCGCATCACCCGGGTACCTGGGTACCCAAAACCATCCGTTCACCACATTGAGATGATCCCATTACATCCAAAAAACTACCATGAAAATCTGGTCTAATGTGGTTAATACCCAATTCTTGATGGTTTATCACATAATCAGAAAAAAATAACCATCAAAATACCCGTTTGTGATTTTTGTGTAATATCGAAATAAACACATCACCCACTTTTAATGGTTTATAAATGGGCTAACGCCCTGGTGCCGCCGACCCCCATTTTGAGGGCCATGGTTATCCGATGTTATCCGATGTTATCCTACATGTTTCCATATTTGTCATTTGTCCCAAAGTTATTTTCTAGTGATTCTGTCGCTGTTGCAACATGAATAGAAGACGGGGCTCTTTAGTTATAAGTCGGTTTATAATCACGTTAAAGACAGTTATACCTACCATAAACCACAGGTAAGCTAGTTATGAACCAATGCGGCTATCATGTGAGGGCCCTATGCTATAGCATGTATATGCCTGTATGGGGGGGCATGGCAGTGGAAAGAAAGGACCACAGTGACCGAGTACCAAAGTAAGTTGAATGTATGTATGCACCTGCAGCCCCCCGGTAAGTATCTTTATCCTACAGGCTGAGGATTATTAATGATAACCATTCTGGGATATCGGTTACCCTCCTGAACTGTTTTTTACGTGCGCGAACAGTTTTTACGTATCTACAAGGAAGCTCCAAATAAGCTCTCCAAAAGGCTAAAACTGTGAACAAAAGACACACACACACACATATATATATATATATATATAGCATACGAGCGTGCACACACATTGACATCTCAGACATGTTCATGTCCATCCCATGGGGAGAAAAATCAAGATTCCCGGCGTTTGCAAAACTAGCCCCAAAGAGCCCAGGGCCCACACACCAACTTTAATAGAACTACCATCCTCAAACAGCCACACCCAGAGCCTATCATGTTTTTTCAGCCTGGCCAACTCTGCTGAATCTGCGCAAGGTAAAGTTGCAAACTTCTCAAAGAAATTAATCTAGGGGATACGGATCGGCTTAAAACAGGACAGCGACCCACAAAGTCTTCGTCAACGCTGCACGTCTCTGCTATAGGATTGTATATCCAGTCACTTTGGGTGGATTCATAGACCATTTGTTCCCACACTTCATGAAGCAAATGAAGCTTCGGATAAAGCTGAAGCTTGACGAGACCCTGTTCAGAGAAGAAGGCTTTGCAAAAAGCCGATGTACCTCTTGTTCCTTGGCTGACGATTTTTGCGCTGGAACTAATGGAGCGAATCCCTTTCAAATATCCCAATGTGTGACATTGGTCAATTCAGGTAAATATAACGCTCTCCCGGGGGCTTTACCTCAAAACATTGAATCATGTCAGTTTTATAAAGGTGGATGGACATAGTGACATAGAGCAAAGGACTTTCATTTGAAATTGCCCAAGCAGGTCTCGGACTTTTTTGGACTAGACTTCCAGAGACCTGTGAGGACAGGGCAAAGGGATACTGGGTACCACTTTCGCATGCATCTCGCCACTCCGTGTGGCAAGAGCAAGTGGTCCAGATGTGGCAGATCCTGGTGCGGCTTCTTTGGGCGGCAGCGGGAGGTACGTGAAGAACCTGTGGCCTTTTGCAAGGCCAATTGCTCAGGGCACAAAGTTGCTTCAGCAACTGTGCCATTCTGAAACGGCAAGCCGATGTGTGATCCTCTCGCGTACTGCTCACCCTGGCCAAGTGACCGCATGCCGCACGGGTGGGCTGAGGGTGTTGGCCTACTATGAGGTGCCGACTCACAACTATCGACATGGAGAAGAGCTCTTGGTCAAAATGCTGACGAGGATGAAGCATGAAGAAGCAAAGAAGTGCCTGGAGGCATCAGGAACCCGGAAGCGCACTAGAGCAGATGATTTGCAATTCCGCTTTGTTCAGGGACCACCTCTGTCGGACCAACTGTTGGAGCTCCGTGACGTTGCCCTTTTGGATTCTTCATCATGGCGGGCAGAAGTGGACCGCTTGGTGGATGGCTTGCACGAGAAGGTAGCCCAGCTTCTGGCAGAAGAGCTTGAAAAATATGGCTTGAGCTTGGTGAGCACAGAGAAAGGAAAGGCCCTTCAAGCAGAGCGAGCTTTCAGGAGACCAGGGTTAGGGGAGTTCGTTTTGAAGCTATAGGGTCGGTTTTGGTGGAACGGGAAACACAAGTGGAAGTTGGCCATTCCTCATGTCATATTTTGTGATTCCATGTCCTTCTTGGAATCTTCCTCAGATCGTTTCGTTGTTTACATCTTTTCTGCCCGTGCCCGGTGCCCCGGTCTTGGCAGGGAGTCAGACACAATCTGCGTGGCAAGTACCTTGCTCTTCAGCAGTCGATCTGCTTTCTGCTTTGGCCTACTTCTTGAATGAGCGCCAAGCCCAGGATTTTGCAGACAAGCTTGCAGAGGTTTCCCCTGTTGCTCAGAATGGCGCTGCCAGCTCGATGTTTGCATTTCTGGCGGGATATGCCGGACATTGCCTTGAACACGGCAAGAAGTCACCGAATGCTTATTTGCGCCTGGATCCGTCCAAGGGTGCCAATGACAATGTCTTGGAATTGGTCGTGAGAACATCCAATCAGCACATCGGCCTACTTCAAATGGCTCACATGCGTTGTGGGGAGTCATCAATCCCAAACCACGCCTTTCATAATTCTCATGAGCTATATATAACGTTGTATAGCTGTATATATATATATATAATATTGTACTAAATATATAGATTGATAGCCAAATAAATAATTAGATCCGAGTGCTTCTAAATAATGAGAATATATAATGTCCACTGTACCCCCAACAAAGTACACATAGGCTATTTTGCTGCATCTTGATTCTATTTACGAAACTCCAAGACCAACTGTTGTGGGATTGTCCTCCCTTTGTTGCTCTATTCTTTTATTTGACATGTCTTGAAAATCATCCCCAATGCAGGCAGGGCATCGCTGAGAAAGCACTTATCACATTGAACTTTGGGGCCCCCTACAGATTCGGGTCTGCTGAGCCCGACGGCAAGAGGATGAAGCAACAGTCTCTATCCTTCCCCGTCGCCGCGAAGAATGCCGTAGCCACCGTGACCGAAGCTCCTACTATTGCCCCACCATTGCCTCCACATGAGACCAAGACCATCGAGAAGAAGGATGTGGTCACGCCGGAGAAGAAGGATGTGGTCAGTGTAGAGGCACTGCCCACCCCTCCCAAGGAACCAGAGGTCAAAGAGACCAAGGCGTTTTTTTCCGACGACAACGTGGCTGGCAAGAAGATCGTGTGGAAGTTTGAGGATGGCAAAATGTCCATGCGCTGCACTGAAGATGCTGAGCATGGAACGAAGGTGTCTCCTGGTACCTTTCTATACACCATTCGGTACAGTGCAAAGGGAAAAGGCTAGTTGGAGGTCGGTGGCATCTTCTCTTTCGCCCTCACAGAGCCCTATGTGCACCAAGTGTCATTGTTGGAAGGGAAGACTGCGTCGGCCTTGATGACGGTGGCCGAAGCGATCCAAAAGACCGGTGTCAAGAAAATTCAGTCCCATGGTGGGTGGTCCTCGGAGAAGCCCCCGGCGACATTGACGGCACCGGCGGCAGCGCAAGGTTTCCAACCAAGTGACGAAGGGCAGTGCGAATTACTCAAGATGGCGCTGAACATGGGACAGGTGTCTTGGCCTTCTTGCTTTGCAATGTTTGCCTGAATGCTCGACTCATCTCATTGTATCATATTGTTGAAATTGTCCTTCAATGCCATGCAGGGTTGCCGCATGATCCTCGCCAAGGGCGCCATTAATTCCTTGCAAGTGGGGTCCAGACAAATGCCCGCGCTGCAGGTCAAAGCCGTATGGTTGCTGAAGTTTGATTCTGAGAGCATGACCTTAGGGCCATATGCAGTGTCTTTGTTCACAGCCAAACAAATCATAGTCCCTGCGAAGATGGCGACACTTGTTTTGCAGTGATGTTCCTGATTCCAAGCCGGTGATTTAGCAAGACAGCTGCAAAATTCACCACCAAAGCGATTTTCAATTGCTGGGGCAGTGACCCAATCAACCAAGTGCCATTTGAATTTTAGCATCCTACTCACCGTTGGCAGCAGGACTCATTGAACATATATTGGGAATACCTCCGGGGCATTGGATAGGAAATCCGAAGGGATATTTCACTCGGAGCAGCCTGGCAAGGCCACATAGGGCTCTTAAGTCTTGAAGTCATTCACCCCTGCATTTTTTTTGCAACCCAAGTGTGTCCTCCATTTGACCCCCTTTGGGATTGACAAGTAGAGCCGCATGGCAGCCACCCAGCACGGAGTGTCAAACCGGATTGCCTCCGGACCCTGGCGTTGCAGAGCTTAGCCCGATCCGAGCGACAGAAAAACTGCCACGGGTGATCCGAGGCTTTTGGTATCGATGTGTTCCATCATATATTAGCAAAGGTTTCGGTATCGACGACATAGCAGCATAGCATAAATACTTTTCTGTCTCATATGAGCTTTACAAAGTTTATACAGGTTAAATAATCACAGTAAGTCAGAACGATCACGAATCCGATCACAGAGTGAACATGAGCCCGATCCAGAAGAAATCCGTCTTCAGCCCAGGTGTCACTGTGGTCCATTCTGGCCGGAGAACATCTCTGGCAGATCTGCTGGGAGGCAGAACCGTGGGAACTGGCGGAAAGCGATTTCAAGCAAAAAAACGCATTCTCACCTGTAAATATGTATTTGTTTGCCATGAATAATGACAAGTCAACAACGAAAAGAAATGGCGAGTTAAGCCTTCACAAGTGGGATGCAATGCACAAACAAATTTTTTATCGTCACGGACTTTATGACACCAAGGCCCTTTTTTCCAAGATCATTCAGTAATGGTATATATGCACATGAATGTGCACTATTTTTCTGGGTTCTCTTTTCGAGAGACACCTTTTTTTGCCCGTATCGGACAAAAAGGAAGCAGACAACATATAACATACTCCTACAATGTGCCCATGACTTTGTCGGCCAATGTTCGTACTGTTCAAGGGTAGCATCTGATTTGCCCCTGAAATGGGATGGGTGTAACATTCAAATGTCTATTGATAATTGATGCATGGGACTGAAACTTTCATCAGACCATACCATCCGATAGCCATATGCAGTTATGATATTTGATGCGGTAATGTTGGGATATACGTCCAACAGGGTCCGGTTTAGCTAACTACCCATTTATTTCAACCAAGGGTCCTGGGGCGACCGGGCCACCTCTACCTGTGTGGTGTCTTTGCAGGCAGGGCACGTACAATTGCTCTCGGTTTTTGATGGAGCTGTTTTTAATGAATGTTCAAATACCATGATGGCTGTTCCTCAGATATATATGTCCTGCTTTCTACATGAACATGAATTGGCTATCCAACTTGGGTTGGTTGCTGGGCCACTTACTGTTTAGCTTGTTTGCTGTTTAGCTTGTTGATAACAGCTATAACAGTTGCAAGATTGGAACACTGGCGCCATTGTTTATGTTTGTGTCCCAATGGGTTTGAGGCGATGTCACCAGTTTTGTGGTATGTAGTGATTTTGTCATCCATTTGTTCGTACCTAGCGGTTATATCCTTCTATTTAATTTGATTTGGGTGGATGATATCATTTTCCTAATCCCTTGGTTTGATATTTAGCTTGGTAACGTCAATTTTAGAGAATCCCCAAGATCACCATACAAGGGGTGTAATAAGCCACCCTCGACTTTTTTAAAATTATTGGGTTTACCACTATTGTTCCCCAAATAGTTATTTGTGCTCCACACTGAGGGGTTCTTACAGTAAGAGTAAAGGCCGGTGCTTGATTAGAGTGCTGGCATTTTCCTTCTAAATTCTCGCATAAAGTGGCTCCTTTGCGATGTCCATGGCTCCTTTGGGGTCCAACTCGTGCCCATGTTGGGCGATTTGGTGGTTTATAATATGTGTGGAGCGGAGGTCTCGGGGGGTGGAAAAATAACTCCAACCGAAAACTTTTCGGTTGCAGTTATTTTCTAGGGCCGTTTTGGGGCTATGTGGGTCCTATGTGGGTCCTATGTGGGTCCTATGTGGGTCCTATGTTGGGCAACTTAGGGTCCAACTTGGGCCCATGTTGGGCGATTTGGTGGTTTATGTGGGGCTCCATGGAGGTCTCGGGGGGGGGAAAAAAATAGCCCCAACCCAAAACTTTTCGGTTGGGGATATTTTCTAAGGCTGTTTTGTGGCTATGTGGGTCCAATGTTGGGCAACTTGGGGTCTCACTTGGGCCCATGTTGGGCGATTTGGTGGTTTATGTGGGGCTCGAGGCGCATGGCAAAGATATGCAAAGATATTTGCCATTTGCCTTCTATCTCCAGGAATATATTTGGGAGGGTGTATTCCGGGTGTATCATCATATGTCCCACCCTTACATACTAGAACTACTCCAAATGTAAGCAAAGTGTCGCTATCAACTGCGGGGTCGTAACACTCGACTCTGCGCACAGGCTGTGGCCCAGCCCAACGTTGACTCTTTCTGCCAAACTAAATAGTTTATTTGATGAATTTATTTGAAATATGGAGGGGAAATCATGGAAAAAAAGCACATGAAACCATCAACCCGTTGAAAATGGTGCTAGAACCATTCTTCGTGGTGACACATGGCTGCGGCAGAGAACTTGATCCTACACCCACAAATTCCTACATCGCGGGAAACCACCCTCTTCGGGTTTCACTTGTGACTAAAACCATCTACCACCAGCATTCGGACCAGAAATGGGGATGCCCGAACATTGATCAAATATATTGCAGTTTGACGAAATGAATGAGGACCATCTGTTGTTTTCCTTGTTCTTCCAACGGGCTTGGTGAAACCCACTAGCCCAAGTCATCCATGTACCAAATAATTGTATACAACTGTGTATTTTTGTTCCCTTTGGCTCAAAGCGACAACTGTCTGGGAAGGGCATTGTTCCAACTTCCACAACTTTCAGCGATGGCCTTTACAGCCGAATTCCTGGCCGCACACTGGGCGGCCTTTGACAAGTTGGAGGCCGAGTTGAAAGAGGTAAAGGATTTGCTCCGGGACCTTGTCGCCGTGAAGACGAGGAAGGCCGCCTATGTTTGTCGCGACTGTCCAGGGCGCTGGTCACACAGTCAAGTTTTTGACTTCGCAGGACTTGCAGAGTGAAAGTGATGTGCCTTGGCATCGGATGTGCTGCGGGCATGGTTCTGGTTGGTGGGGAACTGTGCGGAATTGAGTACGAATCTCAAAATTGCTTTTTGGGGGGTCATGCAACTTCTGATTGTATCTAGGTCCAACCATAAGGTCTGAGGCCTTCTGAAGGTGTGCGCATGCATGCAGAGAGATAAAGTTGTGGTTGAGCGGGAACTGTGGAAAACGTAGTGCGGACGTTTCGTTAACGTTTGAAGAAGAAAATGACCGGGCAAAATTGCGTTTTGGGGCCTGTAAGAAGGGTGTAGGGTGCATTGCTGGTCAGCTAAGGGCCGTGCTCGCTTGAAGGAGTCGGCAACAAGGGTGGGATCGGCGATGCACTTGGCCTCACGCCTGCTCGAGACTTGCCCTGCGGGGGGGAAGGGTGCAAAGCGTCGCAGAACATGGGGTCGATTCACTGAGATGGCAGTTTTGGGAATCTTGGCAAACTGGGTGCATTTCCGTGATGTGGGGCGGGGGCAAATTTATCGAGGGCCAAATGAAACCCAGAGGGTTTTGTCTTGGATAACTGTTTTATTGGGTCCGAGCGGTGCATGGTCGGAGTTCAACTTATCAAGGGCCAAATGGACCCGAAACCATAACCTCTCTGGGGGATTTGGCCCTGGATAAATATGGGTTTAATGATTAACGGCAAAATGGGGACGCTTCATGGTTGGAGCTCAACTTACCAAGGGCCAAATGAATCCGAAACCATAACCTGTGGGGGGTTTGGCCCTGGATAAATATGGGTTGGGTTTTAGCGGCCAAGCTGGGGATTGGTCGTGGGTCACTAATCACTGAGGAGTGCGAGCAGAGGCGAGCAAGGTCACAGCTTGCCGTGAAGAAGCCGTGCCTGATGATCCTGAGCCGGCTTCGGGCAAGCGCATGGATTGACCCTGTGGCGTAGCTGATTGGTGCTGCGGGATGATGGTGGGGCACAGCGGGCATTCAATCTGATGACTGCACATTTTTTAGGGTAGCAAAAAAAACAACAACAGGCATTTGCCTATTGCCGCTGATTACCATGAATTCGGCCTGGGTATGTCCAGGCGCTGAGTTTGTTTCAAGGCCTACAAAAGGTTTCTGTCATGACAAGGCCTGCTTCAGATGAAAAGCAGGAAAGGCCTTGCGAGCTTTGGGTCTGCAGGTGTTGGATGTAATCAGGCTGTGGCCAAAGAAAGATAAGAGATTTGTCTTATCGGAATGTTTCAGCACGACCCTTGCAAGTGCATGCTTTTGCTACAGGGTTGGAGAACTTGCGCTGGTGGCTTTTTAATTCAGAAACGGAAATGTTGCTTCTGGTGGCTGAAGCTTTTGAATTCTTTCTGAAGCTTTTTTGGCTGCATTATGTTTCGTGGTGCATGCTGGCAGTACTTGGATATTTCAGAAGCGGGGGCAGTGTCGTCTGCCTGTTGTGGCAAGGATGAATGGTCCATGTCAGCGTACAGCTTGCTTTGGAGCGATGTCCGTGACACGACACACAAGAAGAGTTCTGTGCGGAATTGGTGTTGCAAGAGTGGGGGTAAAGACATAGCAATCACGCCATATGTTGCGGAGAACTTCTAATAAAGGTACATACAACAATGCCTTTAGATCAACACCATAGGGAAATGATCGGAAACATGGGATTCCATAGGAAGATGATGCTTTACGCCAACGGGGTAACGTAAACCAATGGGAAAAAAAGAAGTCGACTGTCGTAATCTGATTGTTTTGGGGATTGGAATAGCTAGATGGTCAATGTATGTCAACATGACATTCATAGCTATCCATAAGTCATGATAATATAGGGCTCATATTAAGGTTTTCCTGCGATAAGCTGTCGGAAGACCATGCCGATGAGAGCTGGTGTGAAATGAAAGCTGTGTGACTCATTTGGTACAAGCCATGAAGTGTGGAGATTGTTGCCTTTTTAGGTGGAGATGTGGATATTCCGGGGAAGCAACCATCATGAAGGTATGGTGCAATGGTTTGTCATGTGAGTGAAACATCGCTACAAGAAGCAGAGGGTTGGGGGGACGTTTTAGCCATTGGGTTTTGGGTACGGATCGCATGTCTGGAGCGACCAGGCTCGAGGATCACCCCAGAAATTTGGCTAGTGCACCATGGGCAGATTCACGAAAGCCAAGGGGCCTGCAGCTGCGAGTGCCGAAAGCAGTGCTGGTGGCCAGACGCCGTCGCTGACGCCGCTGTCTACACTTGCGCGGATGCAGCCGTTGCCGTTGAGCCTGGTGAACACCGTAGCTCGTGTCACCTACATCTGTGGGCACGCGGTTGGCGACTTGGGTGGCATCTTATGGGAATGGGGAAATGGCCATGTTGGGTTGCAGTCTAGAAGACTTTACTGGAATCTCTGGAGTAAGGTAGGAAGGTTTGATGTTCACGATGCTGGGCGTCACTGGTTTGTGACAATGCCCAAGAGTTCTGGGGCCTAGTGTTGGACAGTCATGGTCATGGTCTGCTAATGCGATATGGAAATAGTATAACCGACAAAAATACCATGGCGAAGATATTATGCTTTATTCTTTGCAACCCTTGTTTCATACGTTTGTCATGGACTCACATAGGCCAACAAGCGCAGCGCAAGTTGTGCAAGCCCGAAGAGTGTGGGGGTCTAGACATTGACAAGATGCAACGACATATCAATGGGAGGTGGAACTGCTTTGCCATATCTTTGGGAGACTTGAAGTTTCAGGCAAGCTGGGACATGTTCTCACCACAATCTATGTAGTGTTTGTTTAATTCAAGTGGCTATCAAATGAAGGCCTGTTTTATCGGGGGCCAACCTCGACTTGCAAATAGATTGGACCAGCCTTTGGCCCTCGATAGTCTTTTGTATATGCTTGTACGGATATTATCTCCATGTTTATGGATAGAAAGAAGCAGGGCGAAGATCACTAAAATGGATGGCATCTATGATTTTCTTGTTTTATTGGGGCCCAATCCATGTTTATGGGTATACAAAAGCATATCCAAGGTCACTGACATATTGCATCTGCCATTTCCTTGTCTTATCAGGGCCCAACTTCCATGTGACAGTATATTGGATCCGCCTTTTGGCGTTGGATAATCTTTCGTGCATATTCAAGGCTATTGAAATGGATGGCATATGGATTTCTTGTTCTATTGGGGGCCAACTTCCTTGTGCAAATATACTGGAGGCCACATTTGGCCCTCGATAATCTATTGTGCATGATTACGCGCTTATTATCTTCATCTTTATCGGGGGCCAACCTCCATGTGCAAATATGTTGTGGCTACAGAAAGCTAGAGTTGGGGCTTGATCCTTCTGTGAGGCAAGTACCCGGCATTCAAAGTGGTGGTGAGTGGCCAGGAAGCCGAGGGTGAGGTGACGCAGGTCCTCGTCAAGTTCAACGGCATGCCTCGGGAGGTGCCGCAGCTTGACTCTCTCGTCGAGCTACAGGGCTGCGAACTGAGGGATGCGTGGCGCAATGCCACTGGCGCCATCCCCGAGGGGCAAGTGATTGCAGGGCTTTCGTCTCGCGAACTTGCGCTGAACTTGCTTCAGGGCAAGAGGAAGCGCGAAGCTCCGCAGTGCCTTGTGCATTGGCAGATTGACCGGTGGGGAATCTATTTTGGAAAATGGGTGTGCGAGTTTAGTGAAGGATTCTTAGGGCTTAGGACTGGGGTGTGGGAAGATTTAAGGGTTAAGGGTCCGGATTATGTATGTGAATGCAAGGGGGTTGTATGCCCTTCAGCGTGTTATGCGTATTTGGGGTTTTGTTTAATTCCGTGCCGAGCTGTGGCTGAGGTCAACCCTCCGAATCTTGGTGGGCCACCCCGACGCATCGACATTCCCCAAGGCGACTTTTGAATTGCTGGAGCTGAAGCACCTACCTGCGGACAGCTTTGGGTGCTGTGGATTCAAAATCTGCGAGGTGGGGCCGCTTGGAGGTGACGGAGATAAGGTTCGCCGACAAATCCGAGTGTCGGAGATTTCAGGGACGGCTGCTGACCGACCTTCACCTTTGCTTTGGTATAGTTGTTGTTCAGGGTTTTTGAAGGTGCACCTAGAAGCAGTATGCATGATAAAGTTCAGTGGAAGCCCATGTAACATGCAGGGGCTTGTGTTGCAGTTGATGTCCTTTTGTTTCATGCGGCAGGATGCCATTCGTTTGGCAAATGTTGGAGGGAGCAGCAAAGGCTTAATTTGGCTACGGGGCTGATTTACTGCAATTTGCTAGTTTTTGGCAACTTGGGCTGAGATCAATCTCTCTTTGCTGGAGCTGTGGTCCTTTGCGGTGACCTGGGAAGGCATTGGCAAAGCATTATAGGCCCACGGCAAAGTTTCGTGTCCTGGTGGACCGTGCTTCGCGGGGGTTTTGAAACCCTCGAAATGGACTATGCCGACATGGCCAGGTGGGGGCAAAGGGCTGCCGCTGCAGGGCAGCGTGCTTTGCGGTGACTTGGCGCTAAAGGCCCACGGGGGTTGCGTGTCCTGGTGGACCGTGCTTCGCGGCGGTTTTGGAACCGTTTAAATGGACTATGGCGACATGGCCAGGCGCTGGCAAAGGGCTGCCGCTGCAGGGCAACGTGCTTTGCGGTGACTTCGGAAGGCAGTGGCAAAGCGCTAAAGGCCCACGGCAGGGCTGCGTGTCCTGGTGGACCGTGCATCGCGGTTTGGAACCGTTTAAATGGACTATGGCGACATGGCCAGGCGCTGGCAAAGGGCTGCCGCTGCAGGGCAACGTGCTTTGCGGTGACTTGGGAAGGCAGTGGCAAAGCGCTAAAGGCCCACGGGGGTTGCGTGTCCTGGTGGACCGTGCTTCGCGGCGGTTTTGAAACCGTCTAAATGGATTATGGCGACATGGCCAGACGCAGGGTTGCGTGTCCTGGTGGACCGTGCAGGCCGAGGTCCTAGCAGGCCAAAGCCGCACACCTGCGGTGATCCCGGGCGCCGCCCCGCCTAGGCCAAGGCTAAGCAGGGATCGGCGGATACAGTTTATACTACCTATTTATAGTGATGACTGGGGGATAGTTTATTGTGGTTTTAACCACATTACAAAATAAGAATCCCATGAATCATGTAGTGAATTCTAGAAATTGTGGATTCTCCACATCGAACTGTTAGTTTACAGGAGGTAATATTACTACTAATCATCATTAATTATTTTATTACAGGTATACTTTTATAATACAACATATCATTACATCACCACTATATCACCATTTATCACTATTATATTACAGTACTATTATCACCATTATATCATACTATTGGAATTTGACATTAATCATCATTAACCGTCGTATCACCATTGATTGGGATTAAGCGTTGTGGTATTATATGACATTATCCCGTTCTTGACGTATATTATTCCATCAATCCCACCCATGTCCGTGGCGCCACGCGCGCGTGGACCACGGCTTTAGGCCGAAGTGAGCGAAAAGAGCAGCGACGTGGAGCGCAACTTGGCCACGCTGACGCTGGCGGCCAAGCGCAACTTGGCGTGGACAAAAGAACATGATCGAAAAAAAACAGAGAAGGCTCCAGCTGGTGGATTTATCCATTGTCCCTTATTTAGAATCCCAATATAATGGATAAACCAATCCATATCTAATCCCAAAGTACAAACATGCCAGTAGGCTATAAGCCTGGTTATGGGCTTACAGCAACCTTCCATCCACTGGGGTGAACTGGACTCACTTGCTAACGGGGATGAATGTTCACCAAGCAAATCAAACTTGGAGTGGAATCTTGTGCACTGTTTGGACATCAATCACCAAGCAAATGATCACTTGCTTGGTGTTTTCGTCAATATATCCTCTGTTTTTTATGCCAAAGGCTGGAAATGGGATGATCATCCCCATTCACGAACTTATTTTTTGCAGATGGCCTGAAATTATCAAACAACAGATATGAGATCAACTGATATGAAATGGGTAAGGGACCGAAAAAAAAAGAATCAAACATCATTCAAGATCTATTTGATCGCGACTTCAGGTCGCGACCGAACCCTGAAATGATGGTTAAGGGAAATCATGAATGGCCGAACTTTTCAGATCAGTGTACTATGACAATTTATCCAGATCCTTGAACCAAAATTTGAGATGTCTGGTCAGCCATCGTTTGTTTGCCCCAGTTATTGGAGATATTGGGGTACCACTACCTACCAAGATGGCTCTAAAAAAGAGGGGAACAGTTTGAGTCTGACCCGTTTGGGAACACTGTGGGTTCTTGTTTGGACTACCCTCTCGTAATTGAAGGTGTGGAAAATTACCAATGTGTAGAGGATTTAGCTATTGAAAATGGTGGTTTTCCACAGCTATGCAAACGGCAAACATCCATTTTTTCTGGGATGTCGACAGCATGATACAGTCCGATGGTGAAACAAGGTCTGACACAACCACAGTAGCCACTAGTAAGCGTAGGTAACCTGTAAGCGTTTGCTGTTTTTATCGCTGATCCACGAGCGCACCTTGCTGCTCCCCAATGTTCACATGTATGTCATCAGGTGATGGGGTTAGGTCGGCAGGTCCATCTCCTGGCATATGGTCCAATCCCATGTTTGGTTTCTCAGCTAGAACAGGTCCGGTGTTTGTTGGTGAACAGGTCCGGTTTTTGTCACATCTTTTAACGCAGTTTTCTGAGTTGCCCTCCGGTAACATAGCAAAAAGGGCGGCCATCCCCCATTTAGTTCAATGATCTTCCCATTGAAGTGCCCATTTCTATGAATTTCTTATTGCCATGATGTATATTTACCATTTCGAAACGCGGGCCCGTGAGTTTCCGTGCCTTTCCCTCGGAGGTTTAGAAGTCAACGATTTCGCGGGTGCGGTCACTGCCTTGGAGGCTGCATGAGTCGGGGTTGGAAGATGAGTGAAAGCACTAAAACTTGGTTATTTTCAGGGTCCAACTGTGAATTTACCATAGGGAATATATAGTAGATTTATAGTATAGTGCTATATGTATAATATATAGTCAGTTTATAGAAATATTCAAAAATAGTTATTAATAGATACTGTAGTGGTCATAAGGTCATGTATATATTTATGATGTACAACAAACAGATAAACAAGTATGCTGCGATCCATGCAACGCACATATTTTGATGGTTTATGGCAGCCATAGACATTGTAAAATTGGGGAGTTATTACTATTTTTATTGCTTTACCAACAGTATATGACATTATTCTACTGATATACTGTATCCGTGTAGTGGTCGTGAGGTCATGTATGTAGTATATATGTCTGGCGACATCTATACACATAACACGTACGTATATTTAAAGAAGCTGGTAATGATTGGGTAAAGGTCACGGTAAAGGTTAGTGAAGAACACACTCTGTCGGTAGCCGGGTGAGCCAAGCATGGTTTGTTTTCCATACACCATTCTCCATATCCAAGTAGGTCCAATCTTGGAAAGGCGGGAAAAATCAGGATATAGTAAACTGGTTGGTGGTTTGGAACATGAATTATTCAATTCTATTTTTCCATATATTGGGAATGTCATCATCCAAACTGACTTTCATATTTTTCAGAGGGGTAGGTCAACCACCAACCAGTAAATGTATGTGGGTAAAGGATGGTAAAGGAACAGTTGAAACGGGTGCATGGATCAATTTCTTGCCAGCGGCTACACCCCAAAAACCACCCTGCTTGCGAAAGATTCAAATGTGACTTGGTGGAAAATCCCAAGTCTGCTGTAGCATGTAGGTGATCATTAGAACATATTGAAACATGTCAAAACATCTAGGTATATTATATATATAGGTATATTATATATATATAGGTATATTATATATATATAGGTATCTTATATTTAGGTATAGGTATATTATATTATATATAGGTATATTATATATAGATATATTATATATATAGATACATTATATATATATAGATATATATTATATCTAGGTATATTAAAACATATTAAAACATAGTTGGTTTGCATGTAGGATCATGTAGGATCATCACATTGCTTCGTTGGCGATTCGCCCAGAAAGCCGCGTCAGAAATCTCCGATCATTGGCCGGGGTTACATGTTGTAGACCCTTGAATAATTGGTTGGTTTTTCCTATAAACCAACACAAAATATATAGATATGGACAATCCAGGATGTGTAACCATGGATTTCCATAGTTTTGTTGGTTTACCAGATGGTAAATCCAGCAAAATCACCATCAATTGATGGTAAACCATCCAAGTTTTTCATCATTTTCCATCCCACATTTTAGAGTCAACCGTATGAAACCAGATTAAATCATATTAAACCAGATTAAACCATGTTAAACCATACTAAACCATACTAAACCATCTAACATCACCATTTTTTGCAGATTTTTTTTCTGCTGAACAACGTCTCTGGCGTCGCTAGGGCCTCACGGGCGACTGCCAACGTCGTGCCGGCAGCTGGCTCCGTAGCGCACGCCAGGGCCCAGTGGGAACTGCCGGTGTCCTTCTCTTGAGATCACCACTGCCAACTTCTAACGTATCTCCAAAGTTATGGCTTGCTCTACAGAATCGACAATAGTATTCCCATAGGATCCATGTGTGCTATATATGGTAACATTTACCATCAATATACCCCCAAATGTTAGCATATATACCATACATGGATCCTATGGGATTGAACAGGGTGTCAGGAATCCGTTTTTTGATCCAAAAAATATCTGCCTTCAGTGTCAGTTGGCTGATTCCCCCTCATAAACCGCGAGGCCCTGGTCTGGTGGGGTAGATAGTTACCATTGCAGATGACTAGGGATGATAGTTACCACCCATAAAGATAGTGAGGTAGTGATGTTGGGGATGATTTATGGCCTTGGGTCTTTACCCCATTACTTGATAGGTTCACTTGTTTAAGTAATTATTTTATATAAAGGTGCTTCTTATTTAAATTCAAACTGCTTTGTTTTTTTGGTGATAGTCATATGTAGTGGTATCAGTTTTGCCATTGGTATATTTCATTATTTGATAGTGATTGCTGATTATGTTTTATTGTTCAAGCACAACTTATCAAATATTGATCAGAGAGTGAACAATGAGGAAGACACTTCTCATGACTTTTATTGTCTGAAAAGCATCAAACATTGACAAAATCTGATTTCTAAGTGTATTTATCTGGACTATGAGCAACAAAATGCGGAGGTTTACCAAACATAAAGGAGTTGTCATGAGATATCACCAGCAATATGTTGACGTGGAAAGATGTCTCAAGATGTCTGGGAAAAACATGTCGAGTTTCCACCACCGCCTTTGGTTTTGATCAACTCTGTGTGGCCGCCGTTAGGCCGTGAAAAGTCCTGGACCTAAAAGTTGGCTATCCCATTGTGATCCCATTAATATACCACTAATATCCCATTAATATCCCATAAAACACCATTAACAAGTCCAACATCTGGCTATGACTAGTTTGCCATGGTTTATCTATTAATAGCATGGTGGATCTTTCTATCAACAAACATCTGCTAATGTCAAGATGTCTCTTGCTGATCTCTACCTATCTCGCCATTTCGAAAACAACAAACATCTGCTAGTGATCTGCTAGTTATCTCCATTGCCTCTCTCTTTGTTCCTTAAACCCATATATTTTTATCATTACATATATATATATATAGACATAGATATTTGCTGGTTAAAAGAAACATTTTTCCCCAAAAAAAACTGCCAAAGCGATGTCCAAGGTCAAGGCCTCCTATGGCAACAGACCTTTGAGGCCCTGCAAGCCAAGGTGCTGGGGATTCCCGTGGAGGATTTGGAGCCCAGCTGGAGATTCACGATATACCGGGTATATACCCGGTACCCTCTGGTAAACATACAAAAAGCGACATGGAAAATGGCCATAGAAATAGTGGATTTACCCATGAAAAATGGTGGATCTTTCCATGGTTACGTTAGTTTACCAGAGGGTATATGGCATGAGAATCCATGATTCTTGTGATTTTTTGGTTAAAACAATGCCATAAACGTACGCACCATCCCCAAGGAAACATCACCATTTTGATGTATAAAGTATAAACCATCAAACATGGGGTGATTGATAACAGTATATGGATTCTTATTTCTTTTTGTCAATATAATGCCATATACCGGGCATAACAAAAACATGATACAATGAATGGTTGATAATCCATGATACATCAATGGTTGTTAGTGACATTCCCAACAGTTTTCATGCAAAGTCCTCAGACATGTTCTGATTGGTGGTTGGTGGTTTGGAAGATGAATTTTATTTTCCATAATATATATGGGATAATCCTTCCCATTGACTCATATTTTTCAAGATGGATGGTTTAACCACCAACCAGATACAATTGCCCATTTCCAGTGGATCTTTCGCTCGGAAATGTCCGAGCGGGTCACCTCTCCTGATTTCCCCCGCCTGAATGTAGAGAAAAGAGATGGTTCATTTTCTGTATATGGATGATAGTAATGTGGTTAAAACATGTTAAAACAATAAAAACATCACCCATTTGGGAATGGTAAACATACCAACTATTTATGATTATGGTGATGACTGGGGGATGGTTTATTGTTTACCAACATTCTGATATCGCCATACAGTTGGATTCTGTTCTTGGTCTTTCAAGGGTTGATGTACCCTCTGGTAATTTAACATAGCTATTGAAAATACCACATAGTGGAATTTCCCATTAAAAATGGCCATTTTCAATCGCTACGTTAAATTACCAGAGGGTAGAGTGTATCCCACGAAAGGTACAACTTTGAACAGGGAGAGGAACAAATCACCAGGAAGTCACCGAGTAGCACAGGGTAGCACCAGGCCAGCTGATGCCATCTGGGGGACCAACCCGACGGAGGCACATTGTTTGAATGCTGCCTGAGGGACAGAGGTGATGACTGGACGCATGATGTGTATTGAGGGAGTACCTGATATAGGGATGATATACAGGGGTTGGTTTGCCTGTCCCATTTTGGGAATATTGGACATCACCGAAAAAAGTAGCCATTATAGACCATATACCTAATGGTTGGGTGATGTTCAATGGGGACATTTAATGACCCATGATATATTACAATCATTATAA